TCAGGTGCCCTCGTCTGTTCATCACGAAAAATGCAACCCTGACAAGTCTTACTGCACGTAGAGACAAAAACACCCCTTCACGAACTGCAACTGCACACGTCTGACGTGACCACACACATACGGTACTGACTAGCGAAAAACACTGCGACTCACAACACAAGCTACGGTAAAGTTCTCGCAACAAAACACAAAAATGCAAAGAAGGGTGTGTTGTACAGAGGTGTGTTGTACAGAGTAGCTGCTCATATTTTCAAAAAGCAACGAGTAGCACAGAAAAAACCACCCCTTGGCCACACTCCGTGAAGCAAATATCAAGGTGTCATGTCCATCCCAGGGCACCTGATCAGTCGGAGTCAAGTGAAATACTCGCTCGAAACTGTCCAGAGTCGTGCATGATATCGGCGACCCCGGGTCGTTTATAACCAACATGGCTCAGGACAGTTTCATGCGAGAAATTTTTCATTATGTCCCGGCGGTTGAAGTGTCCTGGGATGGGGGGTCGCCGATATCCTGCATGGCTCTGGGCACTTCCATGCTAGTATTTATATCATTCGGCTCCCGCGGTTGAAGTGTCCTGGGATGGACATGATGCCTTGGTGTTTGCTTCACGTAGTGTGGTCAAGGCTTGTGATGAATACTTTCTTCAGGAGTGTTTCATCGCGCGAGGAGATTGATCTCCCTCGTCACCATTTGTATACAAGCCGAAATCAAACCATTGCCTTGTCACCAAGAAATCGGAGAGAATATATTGAATTTGCCATCAAACCACTAGGCTAGTCAGCGCAAGACCTCGCCGCAAAGACATTGGTGGGAGATGTACAGAAGCCGAAATCAAACCGCTAGGTTTGGCTTCAACATGCGATGATTAGTCGATGATGGTTTAATTCGGCTTCAATACAAGTTAGTTGTGGGTTCCGAACCCCTTGCGGCACGTGGGGGGTGGTTTTCGATTCAAAAGGCGGATCTTGCATCCGTGAGCACCAAGCAAACTGCCGCTCAAGACCTAGCAAAACCGCCCGTAGCAGAGGCCCTTCCCTCGCCGCAGGCATCCGATCAAGGAAGAGCGATACCCGGACAGAGAGGCTGTTCGTGCCTGAAGCGGCACATTTCGGCGCCGAAAAGCCACGAAGCAAGGCACACTTGAACCAAAAAATAAAACAAAACACAACACAAGTGACGATGCACGAGCGAATCCGAGAGAAGAGAAATCCAACAGGAACACCGGAAAAAACTCCCACGAACAAAGCTTGAGCTACGAAGAGACGCCACAGACATTGCGCTTTGAGGATCGCCTCCCATGTAAACACGCGATACGCGTCGCTAGTACGAACATACCTGGTGATGAGCGGAGACTCATCATCCGCAGCGCCCTGGAACCTCGACCGGACCTCCGCCTCAAGGTGCTCCATAAACCCGTCCAGCCCTTCCTTCGTCTTGCACGACACCTTCCACACACGCCCGCCACTCCCACTTGTCCCCTCCTCGTCCCCCTCCGTCCCACGCGTTGCTGCTCCTACCCCATCCGTCTCTGCGGCCCCGGCGCGCGAACCCACCGCCTCCGCTGTTGTTCCTGGACCCGATGCTGCTGTTGCTGCTGCCGCCGCTGCTGCTAGGGAGGTAAGCTCTCGCTCGTGGTGATCTGCTTCTCCGCTCTCTCCTTCGAGAAGTGTCAGGGCAAGGTCGGCCTTGTTGGCGACCACGATCAAGTCGTCTAGCGCGGCGGAGCCACCGCCACTCGAACCGCCACCGAACACTGTTCGCGGCGCGGGTTCGTTTGATTTGCCACCGAAACGATCGTCGTCGAAAATCGAGAAAGAAGCATCAGCGAGAGTCACGGCGAGAGGATAGTGGCCAAGGCACGAACGAAATGTTGGCGCCGCGACGCAGCAGCAACGGAGGCCGGGTACATGGGGAGGGGGCGGGTGGAGCACGCTTTCGCTACAATAGCCGTCTGCAATAAAAACTGTCTGCATTAAACTGTGTACTTTGACCGTTGATTTCGTGCGCGTCTTGTTCAAGACCGTCGGAGCACCGGGGGTATCGTGAGGGGTGTCTGGCTACCGACGGTCAAGCTGCGCTGGCCTCGGGACCACCAAGACACTTTGCAGTAGACTCACTCTGCAACGTACCCATGGAACAAACTCGTCATCTGGCGCGGCTGAAGCGACGCCAAAATGAAACAGCTCCACACGACGAGACTTCTACAACCTAGATTTCTAGGATTTTCTTAACTGGCTGAGCGAAAACAACTCGATCGGCCGCCTTTGGTTGACCTTGTTGTGGGTACGGCATGGCCACCGCTGGAATTAGTGGCGTGTAGGGGCCTAAACCTACTCTTATCTACGTACCTGGCACAACTCAGCTCTAGATTGAGGAAGTCTGTGTACATTGGTCGGCGACCGATCAAAGCAAAAGCCCAGCAGCAGAGAGGTTGGTGCAAGTGGCACCACACGAAGCCACAATCCGCGGGTGTACGGAACCGCTTCAAGCGAACGGGGGCACATTTTCAAAATCCGTCCCATGACAAAGCCGTCACCCGCACTGCTTGCTCCTTACCGACACAGGAGAAACGGTTGTTACGTAACCGGTGAGAAGCTGCGGTAACGCCACATGCCGCGGTTATCACCCTATCTCGTCTCCCTCTCTTTTGCCCTACCGCACTGCCGCACAACACATGGACGACCCAGCCACCGAGCAGCCAGGCTATGACCCCGCCCCCTTGGTTCCCCGTGCTCCGACCACCCACCGCTTACCCCCTTCCGTTTCAGCGGCATAATCCCTTTGCGCAGCCGTCACCGCTGCCTCCGCCTCCGCCTCCGCCTCCTTGGCCTCCTCTCTCAGCTTCCCGAGGAGGGCGGTGGCCCCGTCCGTGTTGGTAGCGTCCACCACGAAGATGGCCAGGTGGGCGTTGTCCACCGCGCTCCTGGCGCGGCGCATCCCCTCCCGCTCGATCTCGTCGTCGGTTGCCTCTCGTAGACCCGCGGTGTCGCTGCAGAGGGGGGTATAACCCGGACATGGGGGGGGGGGGGGAACGCTGTCCG